AGACTTAAGAATCTATAAATTTTATTTTTTACTTTTTAGATGCAAAACACAATGCCAAGTGCATTTGCTCAGGTTAACATACAATATTCATCAAAACAACTTTTAAAACAGAACCAAATATAAAATATATCAAGGAAGCACATTTCAAATGCAAAACTGAAAACAACCAGCAATAGCATCCACAGTCTAGCAATGACCAAACCAGGGTACAAGCAACAAACTACACAAACATAAATAAATGCTGATGAAAGCATTCCATAAAACATAAAAGAACCTGAAAGCAAACTTATAGGAAGCTGAACTGAAGTCTATGTGCAGTGTGCACTAGATATACATTATGGAAGAACGCAGACTTAAATGAGATGTTGAAATCAGAGCAAATGCCACATGTTACTTTATTTGCGTCTGGTCGGCATAAAAAAGAGCTATCAGCTAAACCAAATTTGCTGCAAATTCATTGATTACCTATCCTATGTTCTGTTCCACCCTATAATACGAAAATAACACACCAATACCCTTACAAAAAATCAAAATATTTACTGCCATGCGGCCCAAACATAACGCAATACAATACTGGCGCACTTCCGACAATCTGACAAGGATTGGCATTTGACTGCGTCAATTTTGGTCTCTGAGGCGAAGGAAAGCTGTCATTGATGACGCAATAATTTTACAATCATTTTTTCTGTCTTGGTTTTTGAATACCTCAAAATAGCAGTTATACATGTTACAAAACCACGAAGCTGAGGCCTCTTGCACCAAACTACCTACCTAGGTAAATTCCGATTTTACCTAGATTCTCTTGCACCAAACTACCTACCAAAAAACGCTACCGTGAAAATTTACCTAGAAATTCTACCGAGCTGCATATTGACTTACCAATTGTTAAAGTCCGACGGGCTGTTTTCCTCTTGCACCGAAAGCCGGGAAGTAGTACTCGCGGAGGAGCTTTTGACGATTTGACGGTAAACTCGGGCTTCGAAAATAACTAGCAAAATCTTAGGTAAAATGATTCAATTAGTAACAATAGGCACAATACATGATAATCCACGGGTACTTTTACGTAAATTAGGCATTACAAAATGTTTATACAATGATAAATCAATGTTTCATTAGTGAATAATAATATAATTGACCAAATGCTCCATGGGTTCACAGAGGTGCTTCTCCGTACCAAGGCGCTAAACCTCCGTAGCAGAACAGCCAGGTTGAAGACTCACTCGTTGCCATGGAAACGAAGCTTATTTGTTCAAGTAATTTAATATCAAAATAACTTCTATCGGTATTTACGTAAATGAATAATGATTTCATAATACCAAAATGTATATTAATAAAAACAATATCCATTTAATTGTTTTCTTTAGTTACTATTTGTTTGCGCCCACAAATAATTCGTCGCCAAACAGCCAATCAAAACAAATCCCAAAAACGCGACCTGTCAAATTTACCTAGGTAGGTAGGTAGAATGGTGCAAGAGAAGTTACCGCCGTGGGTAGTTTTACTAGGTAGGTATTTTGCCGATTCTACCTAGCTAGGTATTTTGGTGCAAGAGGCCTCTGGTCGCATTTATTTCTTTTATCTTTTTCCGTTCTTATCATTTGTATGCCGAGAGAGGACCAGCCGGAGAACATTACCAAGACCATCTATAAAATTATTACATTTAATTTAGTATTTACTGTTTCTTTATTTCTTAACCGGTGATTAACCTCTGAATTGTAAAACTTAAGCTGTTGTATAAAATAATTTTATCAGAATGGCACATGAATATGCATTATACAACGGTGTTTTCGCAACAAGCTCGCACTAACTACGGCCGCAATAATTTAGTCGCTGTAGCATTCCTTGCAATCAGCTGTTGGTGACGCTTCTGACGCATGTTTCCAGAAATGTGTGGTTCATTGGTGGTTAGCTTGCTTGAGCTAGTTTTTGCTGGGATTTTGCATGATTTGTTTTTATGTGTAGATCGAGTGGATACTCATTATTCACCGTGTCACTATTTATTTTTAACTGGAAATCGCATATCTTTTATATCAACATTCATTTTGATAGCAATATCATTCCAGAAGCCTAACATTGAGAGGGAGCCAGAGTGAAATTTTGATCCTCAGCCAATGCTGAAGGGTAAGGTGAGAGAAAGATTTTACTGAACTCTTTTTCAGAAAGGAATTTCAAATGTAGGTATTGATGCATTATTCATTTTCCACTATCCAGTGTGCGCTTCCTGAGGACTTAGAATAGCAATTTCAAGCCCTTACTATTTGTTTGGCTGTCTTTTTCTGCACAGCAATGAAGCAAGTAAGGTTTATATAGCTCTAGCATTGACCCAGCAATTTTTTTTCTTGAAAAAGCAGGTTTTTTAAAATTGCGGTTTTTTTTTTGCGGGTTCGGATCAGCCAAAATCAGCTTGCGGGTAGTTGTGGTTGGGCAAGGGGTAGCTGCGGGGCGGGGCGGGTAATGAAATTGCAAATTTGTGGCATCTCTACTCCGAAGCGTCTTTTCAGCGCCACGGGCCGGGCAGATTATTGGTTCGCAGAAGTCGGCCCTCTTAGGGTATTACTGAGCGTTCCCCCTGGTGTGATGATTTGACCAGTGAGCACTGAGGTTTTAGGGGCGGGTTGCAGTGGTTAGACTGAAGAATGAAGATGCGAGGATGGTGTTAGCAGAAGATGCTGTAGCTGACTACTTAGATATGAATGTTTGAGCTTGAGCGACAGCTGCCATTGCAGTCAATATCACACTACACACATTTATTTCAGAGGCTATCACTTTCCAACAAACCTGCAACAGAACGTGCGTTCAAAGCTGAGACCTTTTTACAAGCCGTTTTAGCCGGCAATAAATCGAGAAGTGCTCCAGTTTAGCGTCACTTCCCTTCCGACAGCAGATGAAAAGGAGCGCGTCACCGCCTCTTTGAGGCACGGAGCCGATTTATGCATAGAGGCTGCTCTACCCCGTGGGAGTAAGGGTGCGAGCACAAGGTGTGGGAAAAGAACAGGAGAGCACGGAGAGGACAGCAAGACAGGGGAGAGAGAGAGAGAGGGAAAAAGAGAGAGAGAGAGAGAGAGAGAGAGAGAGAGAGAGAGAGAGAGAGAGAGAGAGAGAGAGAGAGAGAGAGAGAGAGAGAGAGAGAGAGAGAGAAGAGAGGGAAAGGGAGGGAGGGAGGGAGGGAGAGAAAGAGGCAGAGAGTGAGGTAGAGAGGAGACAGAGAGGGATTTGAAGCAGCTTCTCGGAACAGCAAATCATACCATCAATTGGTTGCTTGTGTCGCACTCAGTATTCTCAACAACCAATCTCAATCGTTTCCCCGTTCTGACAACGCCAGCGAAACACATCGAGTAGATTTATAGCATGAGATCTCAACAGCAGCCCCATAAATATCATCACCCAGGAATGGAGTCTCAGGCATAGCAGAAATGCTTCATCACCTCTCGACGTGAGATGAGCGAAATATCTCCCATTTCATGAGTGTTCTTCAGGTCTCTACAGCATCGTTCAAATGAATAAAAAGTCAAGCAAGATGGCCACCCACATGGCAGATGTACAGTCCACAGCAGAAGTAATGTGCGGTTTCAGTCATGGGTATGTTCTGCTTCCGAAGCTTAGGAACGATTAACCAGAGTACAATGAAACTTTGAATGTAGCTTGTATGTATCGTCACCCTTGCAGCTGCAACTTTAGCTATTGACATCTTCTTTTCGATCACTCCGCATTAAACAATCGCCAGTCAAAGCCAACCGTTGAGATTGGTAAAACCCTACATTACTTTAGCGGTGGGCTGTACGCCAAAACGACCCCCGACCCTTCAACGGAGTCCTCTCGGCTCGCCAGCTGCCGCCCCTAGGCTACCACGTGCCGCGGCGGTCCGGCGGCCTGCACACGGTGCGGTGTAGCGGTCCGGTGGTCCAGTGCGGTCCGGTCCGGTGGTCCCATCGGCCGGCACACATGGCCGCTGAACAGGGGACGACAGACGCTCGGCAGGCCGGCAGGCGCTCGGCAGACGGGTGGCAGGCGGACCACTGATCAGATATGCTAATTGCCGGAGGGCCGCCAGACCACGGATGTGACGTCACAGTCCGCAGGAAGAGAGGGCGGACCGGCAGATTGGAGGCAATAGGAGCGCAGGGAGCGGTGAGGGGGGGGGGGGGGGTGAGGTTCTTCCATGAGGAAGCCATCAGGTGACGCCTGTTCAGGAGCTCGATAAGTTTCCGATTGATCAATGATCACGCATAATTGTATCATTATGCTTAATAAGGACAGGAAATGAAACGTCTAAACCTTCGAGATCCAAGATACAATATATATTGCAATAGAGCCCCGTAGAAATGCGGCGTCATCACTCCATTGCGTGAGCTGAATAAAATATTTCCGAAGACACGGATCTTCTCACGCGGCTGAAAAGAGCATAGCTTATGAAAATTATAATTTACTCTAGCCATAAATAGAACCGGAGTATATTCCTCAGCAAGATCTTCCCACGGCCAAAAATATCAATCAGGCCGGGCAAATTTCGATTCGAAGAAACCGACAATACATAATAACGTTCGATGTGCACATTGCTCCCATCTACCCTATTTGATCACTTTGCAATCGTTGCAATTTTGACGTGAAAGCTTTGCGATTCACGCATTTTTCTGTACACTTTCTAAACACAGATCGCTCTTCCCACTCCCACCAACCACTCAACTCTTCCCTCCCTCTCGTCTCCGCGGGACTCACCTGGCGCCGCGAACGGTCCGTAGTCTGCCGCGTGCGCAGGTGGCGGGGCCAGTCGCGGAGGGGCGTACCGGCCCTCGGAGTACACGGGCGGCGGCGGCGGCAGCGCCGGCGGGCCTCCCGGATACCCACACGGGTACCCCGGGTACTGCGGGTACTCGGGGTGGTGGTACATGGCCGGATGCATGAGATGCGGGTGATGCTGGTAGTGTGGCGGAGGTGGCATGTATGGATAGTACGGATATGGGTACAAGTCGTGTCTCGCGGCGGGCGGCGGCGGCGGCGGAGCGTACACGCCCGGCCGGTACGGACTGGGGTACATGTACCCCGGGTACCCGGGCAGGTAGGGCGGCGCGTGGTACGCCGGCGCGGCCCTGCTGCTCGGCGGGGAGGGACTGGAGAGGGAGGCTGCCGGAGGGGTGTCGGAGGGCCACCGGCCGGTACCCGGCGGCTCCGGAGGTACCCGGTGCTGCGCCACCGGACGATGTACCGGCACAGAGGGTACCGGCGGTACCGGCGCCGCGTGCGGCTCGATCAGCGGCCCCGCCGGCTGCATGTAACCTGAAACAACAGAGAACAGCGGGTGTAAAAAGCCGGAAGCTTAGTTCGTAGAACCTAACCGTGCGATTCTGGGATGGCACGGTGGAGGGAGCAATATTCGCTGACGTTACGAAACTTCATGAAGTGTTAGTTTAGTTGTCCTTGCGCGACGTTACATACATGTTATGTCACTACGGCCATCGGAGCTTTTCTTCAATAACTCACCAGTATTATTTTGTGAAGATACGAGTGACTTTTGAACCATGTGACGTGGACATTATGACAACCACCTGTTTTTACAATGAATTGTTTGAATACGTGGCTTCCCATAAAAAGTCTACATTTCGACTCGTAAGTGTCAGCCATTGAGCCCACCATCGTTCATGAGCTGAGTACTTTGGAAGTTGTAATGGCTCATGAATTTCCCAGCGACAAACATATTACAAAATTAGAGCTGAATCTGATGTAGTAAGTTCAACTGGCAGTAAAACAAAGTTAAAGAACATATGAATTTTCAATACATCATTGTCGAAAACAATTAAAAATTGGGTTTACCTATGGCAGGCCAACTTTCAGCAGCAAAATATGGAGATTTTCTGGAGATTTGATAGCATTCGGCAGCACCAGTAGAATGTGACTCAAGGGACATAAGCATGCATTTAAACGTGGTGTATAGTATAGTAAATATAGTAAAGGCTGTATAAGTGTCCATTCCAGTGCATATCGCACTTAATTTAAATTATCCGTTCCATTATCATACAAACTCAGGCTTTGCTTCAATCGGGATTGTCCCTCCTTCAGCAAACATCAGAGTTCAACTCCTTCAGCAAACACCAGAGTTCAAAACAGATCGCTGCAGCCTGGTTCGGTCTCAAAAGCCGTAGCGGATGACTCTGCCGCCCAGCTGACTCGCAGTAATTGATTCGAGCGACGACTTTGATCTTCTGCCGGCAGACCGGTTAATCAAATCGTGGCAAACATTCGGCTGCAGGAGTTCACGGTCGTATGTACCGTGTGCGGCAGCAAGGTTTGGGAAATAGCAAATGCCCGTCCGAGACGGCCCGTCGACAGGCCTGGAAACCCTCAGTACCTTTAGCGGGTCTGAGGTCACGGCATCTGGTATACTTCATCCGGCCCAAATCCTGATCATGCTACCTACTCATCCCGGCTCCGGGGCAAACCACCATGTCCACTCCACAGCTCACCAGATCGGTAGTACGCGTCCGTTAAGCAGCGCTTTGTTCGATTAGTGTAGCACGCTACATCTTTAACATTTAACGTAGAATCTTTTCGGCACGGCTTGGTCCGGCAGTCTCCCCCCCCCCCTCGCAGTCCGGTCACAGGCCTAGCCCTCCATTCACTCACCCATCGCTGCTACCGGGTGACGCACAGCTGAGCGGAGCGCTGCTGCTGCGCTCCCCTCCCCTCTCATTATTCACCCCCCCCCCCCCAGTCACCAGGCCCACCATCCCCCACACATCACTTTTCTCCATCTCCCGCAACGAGCACTGTCCGTGGGAATAGCCGCAGTAGACACATCTGCGAGAAGACGATGCCGCCTACATCAGTACGAACCGTCGAGGCACAGCTGAGTCAACAAGCTACGTCAGGACCGCGGCCGGCGGCGGCGGCGAGCGAGCACGTTAAGGTACTCTGTCACTTGTCACGTACTCTGTCAGGTACCACAACAGCTGCACCGCGCTGAGTCACATGGTGGGAATGGCACAACCAGGAAGATCCTATGGCAAGCAAAAACGCAGTAGTTCCAGAGGTCTTCGCAATGGGCAACCGTTAAACTCTCATTACGACGCCCGCCTATGGAGACAGCTACCGCAGGATGAGCGATTCGAACCTCCTCAAATAACGCTGCATCAGCAAAAGATGTCAACAGATCATGGAGCAGTGTCAAGGATGGATGCCGGCTGGAGCACACAGCCTCCTTTGTCGGGCACAGCAACCCAGGGTGAGTGAACCTGGCAAAACAACCGGGTGACCGACCTCACAATGGCCTCATGAGGTAGTTCCAGAGATCTCCGCAGAGGAAGAAGGCGCTGACTTACGGCACGCCCGAGACGGTGGGCGGAGCAAGAGTGACGTCACAAGGGGCGTTGCCGGCAGACGAAACGGAAGGAAACAAAAGTTTGAATAAAATGAAATTGAAGAATTAAAATTAAAACTCGAAAATCACAAACCTTTCGGGGATTGTTTTATGCCAGCGATTATTAAAATGATAAAGCACTCAACACGAAGACGATTCGACGGCCAAAAATTGCAGGCACAGAGGAGCAAGGTGACTAAACAGGACAGAGGGCGCCATCTTACGGCCCCACCCACCAGAAGAAGGCAGAGGAAGATGACGTCGCAAGGGCGTGGCAGTCACCCCTCCCCCCAACTATAAAAGGGTGCGCCACCCAACCAGAGGGAGAATCACAGTCGAGCAGCCGAGAGTCACAGTCCACAGCTGGAGCCGGAGACGCCATCTGGGAGCCGCCGCCAGTCCGGGGTCACCCGCGAGAAGCCTCTTCAGTTCGAGAACCAGAACCGAGGACAGCAGTCGACGCTTGTGACCACACTGAGAAGCGGAAGCGCAGAAAAACTCCAGAATGTGAGTGTTGTTGAAAAGTCTGCTCAATCCCTGATCCTAGCCCCCCCCCCTTGCCCAGCCTGCCGTGCCGTGACGACTGCCAAACATTTTCGGTTGCCATAAAATGCACTCTCAATTGGAATTGGAAAACTTAAATTACTTTGAACTTATTGGTCCAGACACCCTAGTAGCATATTAGGATCTGAATTGGGAAGGTCATGTCAGAGTCGCCAGCAAACCGTTATTGTCCGTCGGAATTCACGATTAGGCCGGGAGCGAGATGCTAAAATTTGAATAAGCAGCTCATTGTCACGAACGTTGAGATTGATGACATGATGCGTGTCAGCATTGAATAACGAATATGTCTTTGTGTTTGGCCAAGCTGGTTCGTTCGATTTATTATCGGCGGTAGTCAGGTGCGATTAAGATTTGAGGTTGGAATTCGTTTGTGAAATTAAGGGTGTAGATTCGTGCTGTACTCACTAAAAGTTGCTTTGCGAAATCATTGGTAATATTGCTGTAGGAATTAATTGCGAAGTCGAAATCAATTAGTGAACAGGTAAATACGGTTGACAGGGAATGTAATGTTTTAAGGTGGCGACTGATTCATGCAATCGATCTATGAATATGGCTATGAGTTATGATTTTCAACAGATATGAATGCTTGAGCTTACGGCGGAATTTCTTCTGTTACTTAGGTGCAGAGTTGAGAGTAGTGGTTTGAGGTCGACGGTCTGACACTTTGCGACTTTAGATGGTCCTTGTACTTTGCGTCATTGTAGTTGCGAAATGTCGAGTAATAGGTAGATGTAGAATTGTTTGTGGTTAGAACTAATATGCGACTAATATAGGTACCGATCGTTGTGCTTTTGTAGAATAAATACTAGAAAAATCATATCTTTTGGGAAAGATCGAAGGGGATACGGAGCTAGAAAAAAACTTACGTGGAATGAAGCTGATGAGATGTCGAACAGGGAGATATTGCAGCGATATTTTACCAGATTCACACTCACTGACACATTCGTTGAATCTAACCGGCCCGAAGAGACCGCACACACCAGTACTGCACCGCGAGTGATGGCGCGCCCATCGCGGCGCGGCCTTGACAACTGTCGACTGTCGACGCGGCGCCGGCCGGCAGCCGTGGTAATCGTCGTTCGCGACGCGGGACCGTGCGCCGCTAGATGGCACATGAGAGCAGCGTCGGGAGTGGAGCAGCGGCCACAGTAGGGCAGTGGGCTAACCATAATTGGGGCGCGTGCGGTAGGTGAAGATCATTGTGTAGGAGCATGGTCAGTTGTGGAAAGTTGCAACGGGATAAGAACGTAAACAGTTAATGCATAATTTTAAATATGACATGCTATTTGATATTTAGGACTGCACTTCGTTTGATGTGCATTGTTTACTGCTAATAGGATGATTTAAATTATATTTTCTATGAAAAGCTAGGGACCCCTATGACAATATTCTGGCACTCTATAAAGATAATTTGTATAGATAACTAGTAGCCCATCAGAAGCTATCGAACGAGTTTCAAGGAGTCATTTCCGTTTGAGCATTCAGCAATTCACTATGATACGGTGGAACACAACCAGACGACAGATCGGTGCGTACTAATTGGTTCTAGATCATCTGATGAAATCAAGAGCGGTTCAAGGTCTGCTAGGATTGTATACGAGAACTGATGATTAGGTTCACGCGTGCAGCAGCAATTAGGACTTGAGATTACGATTAGATGCGTTTCTGTTATTCGCGTTCTTGAGAGTTAGCGCCAATAATTACTCCACCAATATTGGCACAGGGCATTGTGAGGCACAGACGGCTTGTTTGCCCGCCTCCTATGGCGTAACGTTTACCAGCATGACTGTATGAGACACAGATGCACTTCTCTAAACCCAAGTCCAGACCGGAATAATAAGAGGGACACACCGTCACGTACGCAGGGCATATGCACGTTTTCCGCCAGTGGTACCGGCCACTGTTAGTTTTCCCGCTTAGGTAACACTGGGTGAGAAGGCAGTGAGAGGTTTCTACGGCAGGGGGAAGGGGAAGATTGGCACAGTGTGCAGTGGAGAGTAAGTTATGCCAAAGGCAAGAAGCCGAGGGTCAGGGGTGAGTCACCCAAAAGTGCGGATAAGGCGAGCCGTAGTGTCCCGAATAAGTCCTCATACTTATTTTGTAAAGGTACCTTAATCGGTACTGGACAGCCTCAGGGGAGGGAAGAATGTACTCCAGGACACGTAAGGCCTTGAAGAGTAAATCCCATGGTTTAAGGAGAGTTCCTGAGGAGAGTTCCAGGATATGAACGGTGGTCCCTGGGTCGTGAACGGGAATGTTACACGCGGACCGGAAGAGGGCATAGGTAATCTCTCCCGGATAGAGAGATAAGTCGGATATAAATCGTGTATGTGTGTACTATAAGTCTATCGGACGTGTA